TGTTATCAGTAATCAATCTGTAATTTTCAAATGTTATATGTTTAGAGGGAGGATGCTGTGACATTTGAAGAGAGATCAAAGTGGCCAACATCTAAAATATTCATGAAACTCATGCCTTTTATCAGTGATACATAATATCTGAAATTGTCCTCCGTTGGAATTGAGTATCAAAATTCATCTCTAATATCAGAAATGTTATAAATCGTTCAAGGTATACATTGATGTAGCTAAGTTATATTAGAAATTGAGAAGCAGGGAAGAGAAAAGCAGGATAGTGCACTAAAATGACAGTGATAATAATGAGTTTCCACTGAAAATAAAATAGATGATTAAAACAGATTTCAGACAATGAGGAGCTCCACTGAGTGCTGGGCTCTGCAAAGCATTTCTCGGTGGACTGTCAACATGTCACATCCTTTTGCATACATTTACCTGAAAACAAGCCATCTGTCAATCGCCTCTTTATGGATCCTTTCAAGATGTTTATCTTAAAGTTTTACCTTCCTAATACTATTCTCTGTGTTAGGTGAAAAATCTTCATTCCATGCTTCCACACTCAGAGACTGGAACACAGCTAAAAATGCCCTCAGTTCCTGACTAGTTCAAAACCCCTTTGCTCATCACTCATTCTTCTCTGCAACTGGATTCCAGTTCAATTCAGTGATTAGTTGTGGGTGTCTGCTTCTACTTCCACCAGCTGCTGGATGAAGGCTATCCACCAGCTGCTGGATGGCATATAAGACAGTCATCAATCTAATTATCAAGAGAGGGCATTTAAGGTAGCCTCTCCTCTGTTGCTTAGATTGTTGTTATCTTTGTAGACCTCCAGACCTTTCCCTAGTGCCTGATTTCTCTGTAAACCTAAAATGTCTCCCTCTATTATGGTATCTCCATTCTTGTTATCTTCTATTCTTGCCCTGACTCAACCTTTCTGCTCCCTCATGTCCTTGGCATCCCTCCTCTTCTACCCTGCTCATTCTCCTATCTCCCTCCCCCCTCCTCCCTTACTCCCAATTTGCTCAGGAGATCTTGTCCCTTTCCCCTTCTCCAGGGGACCATGTATGTCTCTCTTAGTGTCCTCTTTGTCTACTAGCTCAGGAAGGTCCTCTTTAACAATCCATTTTCATCCCCTGCCCATCCCTGGCACTCCAAGGATCAAGGAATATCACAGAAGCAGAGACTGGAAGACTAAATGCCAGAAGATGAGGAAGAAAACACTTTTTTCTAGATATGGCATGAATGTGTCAATCATGAACATAGGGCAGCTTCAGCTAAGGGCATAAGACCTGTACACACAAAGCAAGTTAAGCAAGGAAGGGAAAGGGAAAGAGGAAGGGGGGAGGAGGGAGGAAGGGAGGAAAAGGGGTCAGACAAGACTTGGGAATGGGAAGGGGCTAAGTGGGAAAAAAGGAGCCAGCAGGAGTAAGAGGGGGAGGAGAGGATAAGAAGGGGTAGAATGGATCACAACAAATGTTTTTCATGTGTGAAATGTTCAAAAATAAAATATATACACACATATTATTTGGGGGCATTGAAGTGTTTCTATATGTAAAGGCTCTTGCTGCCAAATATGATGACCTGAGTTCAATTTCCAGAACCTACATAGTGGAAATAGAAAACTGACTGCCACAAGTAGTCTTCAGTCTTCCCACGTTCACTATGGCATGAGTGTACACACACACCCACACACACACACACACACACACACACACGTACACACTAAAAACCAAATAAATGTGAAATATAATTTCCAAAATAAATTTTTCAAAAAATTGTCTGTGTGCATATAAGGCTATTGTCAGCAATTGCACATGCATTATAGTTCCATATTTTGTTTATGATCTAACAAATAAAACTTGCCTGAAGATCAGAGTGCAAAGCTAGTCACATTAGTTGGCCATAGAGGCCAGGCAGAGGTGGCACACACCTTTAATCCCAGCACTTGGGAGACAGAGGCAGACAGATCTCAGTTTAAGTGCTATATGAAATTGATCCAATCTAAAAGAGAAACAACTAACACAAATGTGATCTCAGAACGTGGGATCCCACGCTTTTAATCCCAGCACGAGAGAGGAATATAAGGCAGGAGGAGACAGGAGCTCAGTGTAGTCTGAGGTTTGGTGAAGAGCAGTGCAGTCTGGAGGTGCAGTCTGAGGACAGGATCGCCCCTTTGGTCTGAGCATTGGTAGAGGTGAGAAATCTCAAGTGACTGGCCACTTTGCTTTTTCTGATCTTCAGGCAAGCTTTATTTGTTAGATAATAAACAAAATATCACTACGTCATACCATAACAAGGAAACTTTTCCCCTTCAGATACATACAAATTTACTAAATAGTCCTAAACAATGTTCTAGGATAATATTGTTTATGGAGTACATGGTGTGAATGGTTTATTCTCTACAATTGCACATGCACCCCACATTCACATGACAACAGTCAAAAGGTGAACAGAAACAATAGTAGATCCCGGGCATCAGATACCATGGGAGCCTCAGCAGGTGCATTCCAGGTCTATAATGTGGCCAGTCCATCCTCATTCCCAATATAAGGCTTAAATTTGTCACAAAATCAGTTAACCCTTTATGGCCTTATGCCTGCTACACAAATACCACCGAGCTGCACTCCCAATTCACTCAACTCCTGTACTTTGGAGGCTTCACTATAATCCCTACCAGCCGTAAAAGCACCATTTAATTCTGTGTTGGTCAGAGAAATAGGAACTGTGTTCCCCTCTTGAGCACTGAGGCAGAAGACTGGAGTCAATGAGCCCAGAGATCCTACTAAATTACTTGTGATAAGCACTCCAGTAAAAATCATAGGCTAAAACTATAAAAAAGCAGGAATTCTGTAAAAGTTTATTAGTTTTAATACTTCCTATTAGGAATCTGAATTTTCAGGAGACTGGAAATTTCCTTCAGAACACATTTACTATATTTAAAACTTTGCCATTCTGAATCCCATCCCAGTGGGATCAAGCCCACACAGAGAATTCCTAGGCCCTGGTATCAGTCCTGACTACATCCATGGAAGAGGAAAGAAATCAGAGTATTGGAACTGTTTGCACCCACCAGAAGGGAATCTTGGTCCCATACCCACCAGGAGAAGAAGAGACTCCCTCTACATCCACCAGAAAAAGGAATGGGAAGAAGACAATATAGAAACACATTTAACAACAGAAAAACCAATATGACACCACCAGAGTCTAGGGACTCGTGACCTGAACATCACAATGCAAATGAAGCAGAAGAGAATGACAGTAAAAATATCTTCATGGAAATGATAGAGGGCCTCAAAGAATATATGAGAAATTCCCTTAAAGAAATGGAAGAAAAAAACAAAAAATACTAGAAATCAACAAATCAATTAAGGAAAGCCAAGAAAATACAATCAAACAGCTGAAGGAAATAATTCAGAAAGTTCAAGACCTCAAATCTGAAATAGAGACAATAAAGAAAATACAAATTGAGGGACTGCTGGAAGTAGAAAAGCTGAGTAAACGATCAGGAACTACAGATGCAAACATAACCAACAGAACACAAGAGATGGAAGACAGAATCTCAGGAGTTGAAGATACACTAGGAGAAACAGACTCATTGACCAAAGAAAATCTTAAGTCCAACAAATCCCTAACACAAAATATCCAGGAAATATGGGACACCATGAAAAGACCAAAATTAAGAATAATAGGTATAGAAGACAATGAAGAAACAAAACTCAAAGGTGAAGAAAACATATTCAACAAAATCATAGAAGAAAGCATTCCCAACCAAAAGAAAGACATGCCAGTGAAAGTACATGAAGCCTACAGAACACCAAATAGAGTGCACCACAAAAAAGATCTCCTCGCCACATAATAATCAAAACCCCAAACATACAGCATAAAGAAAGAATATTAAGAGAAGCAAAGGAAAAATGTCAAGTAACAAATGAAGGCAAAACTATCAGAATTACAACTAACTTTTCCATGGAAACTCTGAAAGCCAGAAGGACCTAGATAGATGTTCTACTAACACTAAGAGACCACAGATGCCAGCCAAGACTACTATACCCAGCAAAGCTTTCAATCACTATAGATAGAGAAAACAAGCTATTCCATCTCAAAACCAGATTTAAACAATACATATCCACTAATGCAGCCCTACAGAAAGTTCTGGAAGGAAAACTCCAACCCAAGGAAGTTAACTACAATGAGAAAAACATAGGCAATAGATAATCCCACTTTACCATCAGACAAAAGAAAATTGCGGTGGAAATCCACATATAATTCCACCACCACCAACAAATCCAAAACAAACAACAATGAACTATCAATGGTCATTAATATCCCTCAATATTAATGGTCTTATCCCGCCTATAAAATGACACAGGCTAGCAGATCGATAAGAAGACAGAATCCATCCTTCTGCTGCTTACAAGAAGCACACCTCAACTTCAAAGACAGATGGTACCCCAGAAAAAAGGGCTATGAAAAGATTTTCCAATCAAATGGACATAAGAAACAAGGGGCATAGTAACTGTAATATCTAACAAATTAGAATTTAAACTAAAATCAATCAAAAG